TATATACACATGACCTTCAGCCCTTATTGTGCCCTTCTCATGGTGCAATGGCTGTTGCCACAACTGACTTGCTGCCCCTCCGGCCTTCAGACGGAGACACGAAGCTTCATAGTGAGTCCTGATAATAAGGATCCTACTATTTAGGGTACTATCTTAGGGTCCCCTATTCTCGGAAACTCCCATGTTGGAATCCGACGTGTCGGAGCTTTGGCAGAGAAACGTCGCAGGGTTCGGGCTTGCGACCAGGTGCAGGGTCCCAGCATTAAACGCCGCGAATGCGATTTTTTGCTGGGTTCTGGAAACTCGGACAGGACTTTTACCTGAAGGGTCCCACAAAGCTTTTGTAAGTCATGGTTATATACTGCAAGAGTATTCAAGAGTAGTCAGGGCAGGTACACAGGAGCGATGTACAATGCAGAGCTTTCCACGCCCTGGATCGTCAGCGAACGGCCGAAGGCAAAAACAAACTCTGCTCAACAAATTCAGCATGTGATGCTGAAGGGCTACCGTTTACGGTTTGGGGGTGGAGGAGCATGATGTCATGCTGGAAGGACAACTGGTCGCTTAGTCTCGCTCCGACTCAGATCACGCCGTGCGCCGCCAGATTTGCCATCATGAGCGGCTTTACTGCTGGGCTTGTTATGACTGACAGTAGCGGATGTTCATGCACCTTGATGACGACAAGGAAGCCATCGTATTTCAGAGTGCCAACCCGTAGCGAAAAGCAAGCATCGCGAAAAGCAGTCGTCGTACTTCTATGCTATGCATCACCGTCACACTTGCTGACCCGAACCTTCTCCAAAAATCCACATGAGTGGTTGTCAAAATTATGGTCCCTTTTTGGGACCCTAAATATTAGGTGCCGTAATACAATAAAGACCCAAAAAGGGACACTAATATTGATAACCACCCACATCGCGGATCTGCGCAAAGCTGCGAAGTGTGGGGGCAACACTGTTTGCGGCCCTGGGGCGCTGCAGCTCCCGTACGGTATTCCGGTAGTAGCGCGCAAAGTACTCCATGAGCCTGAAAAATGGGAGGCCAAAAGGGGGGGGGGTTTAAGATTCTTGGTGTAGGGATTCCTAATATGAGCCCTGTTATGGGAACCCTAATCCCTACTAAACCCCCTAGGCTAAAACCCGTTTTGGCCTCCGATGACTGAAAGCAGTGGATCCAGGAGCAAAGATGCTCCAACATTACACGGCCACCTAAACCATAACCCCCTAAATCTCTGACCCTCAAAGCCAAAACCCTAAACCCAAATCATCTAAATCCTCAAAATCTAAAACCCCCCCCCAAGCCGAATCTCGGAACCTCAAAGGCCTCGAACTACGTATGGGTCAGGAGCTTCGGGATACCTCTGCCTGGCCTTCTCGAGGGGATCTGATGGGAGATGGAATAGGCGAGGCCGTGCCAGGGAATTTTAGGTTTTAGGGTTTTCTAGTTCAAGGTTGGGATAGGATTAAAAATGTGCATATGTAAATCTTTGTTCCTTATATTGCGTGTAAGTACCCATAAACATGTAAAATGTTTCCCAACTATGACAAAGTTTACGGTGCAGCCGACAGCTGCGAGTGCCAAGGAGCAAGATGATAAGCGGCAGCAGCCAGATTGACATAGGATTGGAGAAGGTCAGCACCTAGGAACTGAACTCTTGCACATGTGGGGTCTGTGGTGGTTCTGAACCCAAATCCCCTAAACCATAGGAACCATGAACTTGGCAGCCACCCTTCAATCTCATACTTTTGAAGGAATCGGCTCCCTTAAGATTCTCAGCTCAAGTTTTTTGCCGGGCATCTTTATAGCATGTCTTTCAAAGCGGTGTTGAGAAGCAGCACATAACCTATCACACGTTTGCTGACTTTTTTGGGAAAACTTTGCAAGCTCATTGTCCCGAATACTACTTGTACAGCCTACACATGTTAACTTTGGTGCAAGACCGTCTTTGGCACCCCTGCGTGCCCTAATTTGCAAGCTAACCCGACATGCGAGACTTCCAGAATGCCCCATCCAAAAAAGCTCTGAGCTTGGCACCATCGTGTGTCCGAGGAAGTACAACACTGCACCGATGATCACACCTCAAGCTTAGTGGTTTAGGGTTTAGGGTTATAACTGAGAAGGGTTATGGTTCAAGATGACGGCTTGGCGACTTCGGGTCAGGGGATGTGAGGGGTTTTCGCCTCTAACAGCTCCGTGACAACTACCTTGAGTGAAGGGGCTGAAGAACTGGACAGACGACTTCGACAAGCGGTTCGATGATTCTGTCTTACTCGAGGAACAAGACAACCACACCGCGAGAAACCTAGGCGCTTGTTTGGAAGGTCTGGCTCAGCTCAGCTTTGGGAGAGTTTGGGGTAGCTTCGTTCAGGCCGCGTGCGAACACGCCTGCTTAGTGGTCGGAAGGATGGGCGAGTGACGGGGGCAGCCGGGAAAGAGCACATCGCCCGCTCCAGGAAGCAGAACCCGAAGCTTACACCGCTGAGCTCGTTCCCAAAGGTGGACCAGGCCTTTACACTTCATTCTGCGACTGCTCGCCTGGTTGTTGTCACACTTGCTGCGAACTCCTGCTGTGCTCCCTCCCCCTTGCTCTCGTTATTACGAGTATGCTTATGCCATAGCCTATACCTGCCATGCCTTCCTTGTGCTCTTTCGTGGCCGAGATTCCGAAAATATTGGTCACAGCTTTGTCCATCACCTGGGCGCCGTGGCCAAGCTGGACGGACCCGGATACTACTTATCCCCTGACGTGCCAACTCCGGACGCGCCACTACTACTGCCACTACTACTGCTGCTGCTCCTGCTACTGCGACTACTACTACTACTACTACTACCACTACCACTACTACTACTACTACTACTACTACTACTACTACTACTACTACTACTACTACTACTACTACTGCCCCTGCGCCTGCGGCAAATGCTCAATATAACTTCGGAAATCTCGAGAAATGGCTAACGTAATGGTCCCAGAACAATGATACAGTCTGATACAGGCTTTTTGAACTGGGTGGCTGCTTCTCCAGGCCTCGAATCCAGAAGAATATGAGCTTTTCTACTGCCCGCTTGGCTGAAAACACCCCTTCTAGACTTGAGTTCTTGAGATACCTGAAATTTAAGCAAAAGACATCCTTACAGAAACCATAAATAAGACCCCTATAGAGACCCTGATAGCAATCCTCAAGCCCCGATCTTCCTCGTCTGTGTCTCCTGCAGCTAGAAACAGGGCTTGAGGGCTTAGGGGTTTAGGGTTTAGGGGTTATAAGGGTTTAGGGGGTTATAGGTATGTGGATAGTTGTCTAAAGAGCGTCTAAACACGAACCCTAAACCCTAAACTCGCATGAGCGGATCCCCAAATAGCAGGACAGGCCTCCACGTCCTCGGAGAATCGGTTCAACACCCGTCCGGTCGGATTCGTGTCCTCACATTTAGGGTCTGGGGCTCGAGGGCTTTGGGGCTTTAGCGGTATTTAGGGTTTTGGGATTAGGGCTGTAGGAGGGCTTCAGGGGTATTTAGGATTTTGGGGTTCAGGGCCGGTCGAATGGGTGCCCTCCCAAGGGAGTCCAAGACAGTCTTTCGACATCCGTGGAGATCTGACGCAGCCTGAACCCAGACCCCCGGGAGGATCCCAAAAGTATATCCCTTAATGGGGGTTCCGCGTCTTGAATGACTTTTTGCATTGATGATGTGCAGCACGGGATCTACCCCCGCTGCCTTGTGAAATAAATGCGGCGCTGAATGTGGACTATGTGCAGCATCCAATACTGCGTCCTCACCTCCTGTGCCCCTTCTAACTATTTGGCGATGGGTGAAAGCCTGGCCCACCGACGGAGCCCTTAGACGGAAAGCGCGCTGAGCGTCTGGCCCACCAATGGAAAGGTCGATGGAGCGCCCCCGTCAATGCAGATGCCTCGTGCCAGGGATCTCTTCGCATGATGCTATTCAAGTGACAGCCTGTACTACGAAGATGATGATGCTGACGGCGGTGATGACAACGGCTGTGCCACCAATGATGGCTACAGAACTCCCCCATGGCGGTGATGAAACAACGAAGTCATCACGTTGATGTTGATGGTGATG